GGCCGAGGCCCCGCGCGGCCTCTGCCCGGCTGCCCTGCGAGGAGGAGGAGGAGGGGGCTCGGCTGCCGAGCACCGGAGGGCTGGGCTGGGCGTGCTTTGCCGGGGAGCGGGGGGAGTTGCCTCTCCTTCTCTGGATGTATTCCCTTTCTCTAGAGATACCCAACCCTGCCTGGACGCGGTTCTGCGCAGCCGGCTGTGGGTGCCCCTGCTTTGTCAGGGGTTGGGCTGGGAGATGCCCAAAGGTCCCTTCCCACCCTGACCATGCTGGGATCGATCCTGTGATTCTGCGCCAGCTGTGTGGGACCCCTGTGTGGACGGTGTGGGGTGGGAGCCTCGGCACCCCAACGCACCCCCAGACAGCTTCGGTGTCGCCTGCTCCGTCTGCCCTTGGGAGGGTACCTCTGGGGAGCAGCTTCCCCCTCCTGTTCTGCCTCCCCTTCCTCTGCCTTCTCTTCCTCGACTCTTCCTCGTGGCAGCTCACCCAGGTCTCATTCCTCCAGAGCTGTTTGCTTTCCTTCTGTTTTTTTATTTTTTTGTTTTAACGTGAGGGTGTAAATCGTTTTGCGGAAGATGAAACTCATCTCTAGCTTCCCTGTAATTTTGTCAAATGTGATCAGACTTGTCTGTCAGGACTTCATTAATCCCGAGTGCTTCCTGCACAAAGTTTTGCAACCTGCTGGGGTGCTTAATGGCTTCTTCGAACGTGGCGCTTCCCTGCGGAAAGGAGCTGGGATGGCGGGGCAGTGGACGGAGGGCTTTTCTTCCCCACCCCTCTTGACCGCTTCTCTAGAGCTCGCGGCACTTGCGTCTTTCCAGCTTTCTCTGCAGTCTCTGGAACTTGTTCAACTCGACCGTCATAGGGATGTAACCTGTTTGTAAGGCCAGAACGCGCGCTGGGCTGGGCTGGACTCGCACCTTGGGGTCTGTGGCTGACGTGGCGCTCTGGAAACGGCCCCAAGCCTTGCTTTCCCTTGCATCCAGGGATTACAAGTCATCTTCCGAAGTGCTTCCGCGCTGCAGGCCTGAGGCCACTCACGAGCCCCACGTTCTCTGACTCGCAGCCGTGTTGTGAGCAAGGGGCAAAGGCCCTCCAGGAGAACTTGCTGTTGCAGAGCACCGTGGCGTCACAAACCGTCCCTGCCCCGGCAGCAAACAGCCGAGATGCCTGTGGGTGTGGAGTGGGGCAGGTCTCACTTGCCCCCTTGGCAGGTTTAAGCTGTGATGAGAGGCCAGGTGGGGAAGCATATGCGTGGTGTTTGACACCGTGCCCCAGCTCCGGCTCCTCCGGATGCGTGTAGTGTCAGATGCCTTGACGAGCTGAGATACAGGTGTTTATATCTTTTCTCAGTTGTTGCGGACTGGTATTTAGTACCGTGGTTCCCTGGCTGTAAGCTGTGGACTGCCAACCTCCCGCTCTCCTGCAGATTCCCACCTTGCCTGTAGAGCTTCCTCTGTAAAGCCCTGATGATCCAGGAGGGAGCTTGAAGATCTCCCAAGGTCCTAAAAGTTTGGAACTGGTTGGGGACTACATCAATCTTAGTCCAAAACGATGAGGATGAGCAGAGCACTTCTGCTGCCGTGTGCGGAAGCTGTAGCACCGAGCGTGCTGCGGAGTGGGAGTTACTCTGATGCTGACCTGGCCGCTGCTGTGGTTGCTCTCTTTGGTCTTTCGAGGATCTGGGCTTTGCTCTTTCTCCGTGTTTCTTGTGGGCCTCCATGAAGATGCTGAAAGAAAAACGCTGGAAAGGTGTACGCTGTGTAGAGCAGAGCGCCTGCACGCTATTCACTCTGTGTGCAAACCTTATTTTAAAGAACTCGGGGCTGCAGGCTGCCTGGGGAGCCTTATGTCTGAAGGGAAGGATTTTTCTTGCTCATTGTTTTCTATATTAAAATACTAATACTAGTATTAGTATACTGTAATACTAGTATATCGTAATACTAATATTAGTGTGTTAGCATTAGCGTTATTTACTCAGGTGACCGAAGCAGGAGTCTGCGATAATCCAAAATGAGAGCACGGAAGCCCCCCAAGCACTGGGTTGGAGGCAGCTGGTGGTTAGACTTCCCCGCTTCAACGTATGCTTTATGAAGTTTGCTTTATACAGCATGGCATCTTACAGGTTTTTACTAGAGATTCTCCCAGGCAGCTCTCACTTGCAGTGCGACATCTTCCTGCAGTGGCAGGGTTGCTTTCAGAGCTGCGTACCTGCCTGCTTGCATGGAGTTTTGGCTTCCATTAATTAGCCGTAACTGAGTTGGCTGTCATCAGCTTGATGGTAGCAGATGGTCCTGTTTTTTCTGGCTCGTACCCAACAGA